ATAGCAGATGGTGTAGCCCACGTGGGGAGTGTGAACGAGAACATCAAATGCTCAGCACACCAAAGCAGAGAGGAAGACAGGCACTTCCAAGCTCTCACTCGCAGGGCAGGAACACAGCAAGCCAGGGCTGGGGAGAGCCTGGGCCAGAGCCTGCATAGCAGGGCCTGATGGAGAAACCATGGAGATCCCTGCTGTTTTTATTCAAAGAGCAGCAGGGGCATTCTAAAGTCCCCCCTGGCTGCAGAGTAGAAAACAGCTTGGGAGGGTGAAAGGGCATGCTGAGCCCACTGCAGTGGCCGGCATTGTGACAGCTGCCTCCAGAAGCACCATAAATATGCTCCTGCTGCTCCTTGGTATTTAGTTTTCTACAAACATAACGTACACATCTGGCAACCATACCTAGGGAGGATGGGGGACCACGGTGGGCAACAGTGGTACTGGGCAGTCACCATCCCCTCTGCAGGCCCAGTCGTAGTGAGTGGTCAGGGACAGGTGACAGAGCTGGCTGCTGCCTCTCTAAGAACCTCTGGTCTAGCTCTTGAGGCTGACTCATCTGAGGGCAGCAGGTGTGGAGGCCTGGTCTCCACACCCCACGGTCAAGCCAAGGGCCCCTCCTGCATGCAGCACCCAGCCAGGCAGGACCCCTTTGTGACCCTGTGTCCCACCTCTTATTCCCCTGGTTAAATTCTGAGAACCAAGACTCTCTGCCCTAGGGTGGGTCACAGTGCACAGCTCTTGAAGTGACCCAGCACTCACCAAAACACTTCCTTGTCTGGAAGGTCAAGGGTCTAGCCCAAAGGGAAGGGACCCTCTGCCAAATTTTAGTGGGCCATCAGCTTGTTTAGAAGTCAATTTAAAGGCAAATGGGTCTGCCCTGATCTTTACAGATAAATGATCTATGAGCAGATGCGGGTTCAAATCTTCACCACGCTGCTTCTAAATATTGTATCCTAGGGTAGTCACTTCACTTCTCAGAGCCTCAGTTTTCTCACTCCATCTGTACAATGGGACTGGTAGAAATTACCCAGAGTCAAGGGCTAGAAAGCATCATTTGTTCCCTTGTGGGAAACCAGAAGCTAAGTACAGAAAATCACTCCAAACTACATGCTGCATAAACATTTGCTGAAAGCTTGTGTAACCTGACAGTAAGTCATGGGACCTGAATTTCCAGGACTATCCCAACTGCAAATCCTCTGTCCTAACTTTCCACATAAGCCATTAAAATGTCTCAAAAATTCCACTCTCTCAGCATCCAAAACACCTCCTGAACCGCCTCTTGTACAAATCAGCAGCATATTCTTTCTTTCTCAAAGCTACAGATCTGTCTTTGGTTTAGAAAATGCAGTCAGCAGAGTGCTGTTGGACCCCTGAAGGAAACAAAAATCCACAGCAGTCAGCATTTCTTCACACTTGCGGCTGTTTCTCTGCACACTGATGTCAGCTCCAGCCAGTGGTGACCACACCTCTATCACAATGTCACCCATATCGGGAAGCACACTGGGCAGATGAGCTCTGTCCCCACCTACCTACCAAGCAGTGTGGTATAAACAAGTAAGTTAATGGTAGGAAAACACTCGGAATTGTGCATGGCAGCCAGGAGAGACCATATTCATGTTGAACAAGTACCAGAGGCATCCCCAGCAGAAGTTCTGCCTGCCTTAAAGGCCACTCAGAGGCAACACTCCCAATCTGGGGAAGATAAAAAGAAATAGCATTTAGCCTGCCCTGGGTGAGGCCCGGCCCCAGACTGAGATGCCAGAGAGTATAGGAGGGAGTCCTGCATCACTGCTAGGCCCATCATCCCAGCTACTTGGGAAGCTAAGGCAGCAGGATCTCTTGAGCCAGTCTGGAATATGGCAAAAGCTTATCTAAAAGAAGGGGGAAAAAGAGGCGGGGCTTGAGAAGAGAAGCATGCCTATAACACAAGAGGTCTCTTCAGGCCTCTGTTCCAGCCGTCTTATGCATCCCAAATGCCTCCTCTGTCTAGGTTTACTGTTAAGTATCAACTACTCCTTAGGGTATTTCTTGATGCCCCTCAGAATGAAAGACTGTTTCATTTAGTATTTTTGGAATTTGGTTTAATCCCCCTTAAGCAGTTTACAATAGTTATTAGATGAATGGAGGATGGATGTTTTGGAGACATATGTATGTATACACACACACGATTATCTTCCTAATTCCACCATGAATCCTTCCAAGGCAGGGCCCTCTCTGCAGCCCTAGAGCCTAACACATAGCACAGACTCACAAAAGTCTGAATTTGCTGTTTAATCTCACAGCTGTTCTTGGAATAACTAGTTCACTCGGGAGGTGGAAAGAGGCTTCAGGTGCAGACACAAGCAGAAGCTGTGGAAATGCAAGATCTCTGGGTCTTAGAAGTCACCAAAGATCAGATTTCAGCCAGGGGCCTACCAAGCACCTGCTTAAGTCTTCTTTTCAGGTGCAGGAAATGAGAAGCCTGTCAGATTAGAGCTTGAGGTCACCTGGGCCCAGAAAAGAGTGTTATGGACGTGACCTGGTGCCATCTCATCTGTGTTAGAGTTGAAAAGAAGAGCCTGTGGTTGGTAAGCTGCACTGCCTCAGGGCCCAGCCAGGGCAGGGTATGTGCTGAGCATAGTGCCTTTGGCATTCCAGCCCCTACAAAAGACCCTGGGAGAGATGAGGCATCAGCCTTGCTTTCCAGGAATTCATTGTCTGGTGGCAGGACACTGAGCCTGGGGATTACAGTCAAGAGGAGCTCTCTTGGGTAAAGAAGGAGGGGACTACAAATTGCTGGTCTCTTCTCAACCTGCCACAGTGCCTGTGAGTGGGGGGAGAGGAGAGTATCAAGTCTTCTTGTCTCCATTCCCCAAAGTTGGGGCCCTCTGCCAGATTATATCTGCTCTAGAAAAAAGTGTTGCTTGTGTGCCTGGACCTACAGTTCAGGTCACAGTTAGTCCTCTTGTTCCTGGTCATAGGCTATCTTTGCTAGCTCACCTGCAAAAGGATGGGAGGAGGGGGCACCAACACTATAATTAAATTTCTGGTTCACCATGCAGCAGTCAAGGAGCAGGGTTGCAATCCAGACACCAATTAACAATTACCTAAATTCTTTCTGGGATAAGATTTGTCCATGACCTTCTCTCATAGATCAGAATGTGAAAGGCTAGACGAGGACCTTTGGCACAGTAAGAGACAAAACGAGGACTGGCACAGGAGTATGACACAGTGTGGGGACCTGAATTTGCCTCAGGGTCAGCTGGGCTCTGTCTCTCACCCCAGCACACTCAAGTCAGCTTGAGGGTCCCTCCTGTGTGGCCTGGCCTGAAGGGAAAGGTAGTTCATCTAGTGACTTTGGATTCCCTGGGCCCAGCAGCTGGCTCAGAATTCCCACACAGCACTGCACCCTCACAGGGACACAGCTCAATAAATGCTTGTCCAATGGCAGGCCTCAGCTACTCCCAAATGCCTTCAGGAACTTGACCTCTTACAAGCCTCAGCTAATGTCTAATTTGCATATATGAGTCCTTTTAAGGAGAAGACAAACCACCAGAGACATGTAGGATCGATACAGAGTATTAGGCATGGCTTACTCTACTCTAATTCTTCGCAAATTGGTATTCCATTAACTGTACGCGAGAGTTATGGGAGCTTGCTATAAACTAGAATATTTAACTAGAACAGCCTACTCTCTGTCAGATAATAGCTTACTGTTGTTAATTTTCAACTAGTCAATCTCAGGAAGGTTTCCAGCTGCCAATATACTCTACATCTTGATTAATCATCAGGAAAGTCATCTACGTGAAGGTCTCCAGACATGAAAGGGCCACTTGATGGAGAAGAAAAAGACCAGCCCTGGGAACTAGAGGACTTGGGCTACACCCCTGCTATGCCACACACACTGTGTAATCAGCTACTCAGAGCTTCAATTTCCTCATCTGTAAAATGGAAATCACACAACCTCAGAGGGGGAGTTGTAAAAATTAGAGATAATACATGCACGCTCAACAGCGCTGTAAAGTGAGATAAAGGTATTATTATAAAAGTACGAGAGAAAATTCTCAAACAACCCAGGTTAATGACAGAGAGCCCAAATCATATAAATTGGTGATTCTAAGGAGGAAACATGGTAGGGGTTTGACAATGTTGGGGGCATTTCTGATTGGCACTACAGGGAACAGGGACTGCTACTATACTCTGAGGAGCGACCGAGGATTCCTACAATGCACGGGACAAAGAATTATCTAACCTAAATGTCAACTGCTCGAGGTTGAGAAACTCTGATCTAAATAATCACTTACAGGTGGGTCTGGAAGAACAGAAATCTTCCTAACCAGGCTTTACTTTCTCAAATCATCTGCTTTAAACATTTGCAAGATGGATCATCTTGCAAAACAGCTCTTGTGTAAGCGAAGCCAAGCCCAACTTCTGGAGTTTCTGAATGCATAAAACTGCCCTCAAAGAAGGTGCTCTCTGATTACAATTCGGCTGAATTGTTTTTCCAAAGCTTCTGCCTTCAGCAGAAGTTCTCCTGGGCACAAAGACAGGCCTTGAAGATGCTTTCCTAATTCTAATTTCCTGGTGAAATGGGAGCCACGAGGGTCTCTAAATGAATTAAATTCACATCACGCCAACTGTGTGCTTGCTTTGTGCCGGGCACAGAGCCAAACACCTCCACATAATTTAGCCCACTTAATCCATCAACAACCCAGTGAGGTGGGCATTATTACCGGCTGTTTGCAGGGGAGGAAGTGGAAGCTCAGTGAGGTTAAAAGACTCGCTGGAGGTCACCAGCTGGCCGAAAGAGAGCCCAACTTGAACGAAGGTCTCCAGTTTCCTAGCCACAGGCTCTTCCCACCACCTTGGAAAACCCAGGTGTCAAGTTGTCTCAACTTCCCATGAATTTTTAAGGCAACGACAACTTCTCAGTAAGTTTAGGTGGCCAAAAAAAGGGTATTTCCGGGGAGCTGGGCGCTCACATCCACTCGCCCCCCCCCCCGCAGCTGTCTCACCGCAGTTACCTGATAAATCATTCCTTATCGCTCGCGGAATGGGGAGGATTTATTGGCGCTGGAGTTCGTGCCAGGCCCAAGAAATGCCATCTTTGAAAGCCCAGAGGCGGATTCACCGCGGGAGCCGAGGTCTGGCCGCCGCGATCGGCTCGCCTCCGCGGGCTTTGCGCCCCTCGGTGCCCAGAGCCGGG